TATGTTTAGTTCTTTGAACACATTTATGTATTTGGATATTTTCTGTACAGAAATAAAGTATTCAGTTCATTCCACTCTGTTATTATGTTCAGTACTGATCTCACTTAAGAAATAAGGTTGGACCAGTTGGAAATAGACATATTCGGATCACATAACATGTAATTTCCATGCTACACTCCCATAATTGATCTGTGTCATTTGGTTGTATGGGTGTACGTGACCATTGATGGATTTAGTCACGCTAAATGTGACGAAAATCGCTTTGATCCTACATCGATGTAACTAATGGACGAGATTGTTTGGAAATACCTTTAATAACTATAGCACAATTTTGAGCTCATAAGTCTGTGCACATTTATAATGTAACATGTTTGGCCCAGTGGGAGATTGTTGGAAAAAATTCCAACTTAGGGGCCACACATGTACATTTATTAGAATGTGTGGTGCTATTTTAAAGTAAATATAGTCGATAAAGTGATCCATTGGATTTAATTTTAGACTAATGGGTATTAAATTTTATGGGATTAAAGTGTAGAGACCAGAAGGTGTTATTTTGAATTGATGAGGGGCCGATTTGAAATAACTTAAAGTTAATAACTGCCAATAGCAGTTATTTTTAAAAATGGTTATGGTCCCCAATTTGAACGTGATTTTCTTTGGAAAATATCTCTGCATCCCCATCAACAGAGACTTTGAAGAAAATCAAAAGGAAGGAAAATCACGTATCAATTGGAAGATCAAAACCCAATTAAAGCAGTAAGATTCATGGATCAAGGTATGTTTCCGCACTTTTTGTTGTCTCTTTGATTTCAACATGGAATTTATGATTTTATGGAAGGATTTTATGAATATGGTTCCTTTCAAATTTATGCAACACTTCTCACAGATAAAATAGAATGCATCACGTCGTACTGTTCGGAGAATCACAATTTCATTAAACAATCTTCCCATGTTCATTTGTAAAACAACTTTATTACCTCCCTTTAACACATCACTCTGTTTTTAAGAACTGAAACATAGAATCTGGTACAGCCCAATATCATTAGAGATTGTGTAAATGAAAAATCTGTAAGGATGGCTGCGAATTTTATTATCATATTAGCAAATACACACTTAGAACCCCCAACCTGTAGCCTTCCACCACAATGAAAGTTATAAAACCAGCATAATAAGATCACAGCAACTTATTCATTATGTGTTGACGAAATAAACCTTCATTGAATATATATATATATATAAACACACAGAAAAAAATGCACAACAATGCCTTGATGCCAGAAACAAAGAGGAAATCTTTTGATGCTATATTAGTTTGTTTCAGCTTGTTTAGATAATACATTCATTGCCTCTTTTCTCATGCTAGATCAAAGTAAAATTTACTTTGTTCAATTGGCAAGTCTGGCACTATCTTATTTGGTCCTTTTTCAGTATGTGTGGCCCATTACTTCCCACAAAATATTTAACTCGTTGTATGACATCTACCATCATTTATAGCCTTCAAAAACTATATATTTAGAGTGAAAATAGAGTTCTCTTATTTTCATAGCTGAAGCTACTCGACAATACAAATAATTGACTGGATTATTTTCAGAGACAGAGTTCTCCTAATTTCATAGCTAAATTTACTTTCAGCTCCAAGGCAATCACTTGTTTGGAGAATATTGTTTGCTTTTCTAGATTTAACTTTCTTTCCACCAGAGGTTAGATTCCTGTTCCTGAGTACTACACTTATAAGCAACTATGAGTAATTTCTCTTTAAGATACTTGATCTACTTCTCAGCAGCTTCTCCTACCGCCTACTCAAGTGGATTGGACCAGCTTTCCAGATTATTTCCTTCTTTTGAGCTGCCTTCTAGATGCTCTTTTGGTGCGAGGGTTACTATGGTATTTCTCGATATAAGTATTTGAATATAAAGAGATCAATAACATGATCTCTTTAGTAGTTTCTGTAAAAATATATGTGATTATCAAAATAAATTTCTATTTTTTATTTTTTTATATTTATTTTTGGCCATACTACACATTAAAGGTACATTTTCTTTCAAGATAACAAAAACAAGACAAGTATATTCACATTAGAAAATTGGCACTTATGTGATGGAATTACCGTTAAGTATGGATGACGAAGTCTTGTCCTGTATTAGCAAGATCCAAGAAGGTCAAAACAAATTGAACATCGGATTTGAATTCTTGGCATGCAATTGAATAGCATCAAGCATGAAGAGAAGACGATAAAAGTACCTATTTGTAAAACATGATCAATTTGCTCATCTTCGCTTCTAGGCAATCTCTCCATAAGAATTGAACTATAGGATCTCTCTTCTATGGGATTTTCTGGTTCGTTTGCAAGAAATACGGTAATAACTTCAATAAAAGAATATCATATGACTGAACAAAAGACTCACTGTTTTATGTTACGCTTGATCCCAAAGGACCTCAAAATGTATCTTGCTGTGGAACAAATCAAACAATTCTATTAGATGAAATACATTAGGGGAAAGAAAAAACTAAGTTCATTTCATCACTATATATTTTGATTCTAAAAGATTAAATGACACATAGTAGAGGCATAAACCACTGCGCTATCATAATATTATCAATAGTCAGTTGATCAAACTTCTGATGATGAAATAACTACAGCGAACTTCTTTTTGCATATATGCACTTTGAAAGAATAAATAAGACAAAGTTTTGGATAAACATGCTTCCATATCCAATTACCATCTCACCAAAGTCTAACTCTCATTTAGAAAGAGAGTAGATCAAAGTCACTCTACATAATTAACAAAACTTACGAAGTTACAATATCATAGTCTATCATCTAGCAGAGTACTTGGGAGACAGTAAAGCTACAAATTACATCATTTTCAAGCAAATGTTCAAGAAAGTATACCCATTTACAATTAAAAAGTGCTAAATAATTCTAAATGAAGCTAGACCTAAAACAATTAAGGAAGCTATAAGTCAGATTTCATTTCTAGAGCTGCCATTAACAAAAATTTAAGAAGTTACAATGTGACAATCTATCATCAAGGCATTAAGTTGAGCAGGATTTTATAAATTACTGATTTAAACATTCACATATAACTTTCACAACATGGTGAGCAATAATAATATGTTGCTGATCTTGTACTACAAATAATATAACCCCTGGAAAATAGCTTCAAATTTTGTGGAACTTACCCTTAGAGAAAATAGGAATTTGGCCACTAAGCTGCTTTAAGACCTGAAAACATAAAAATAAATACATAAAATCGAATTCAACTTCGAAAATACTCAATAAAATAAAAATTGTATCAGGGATGAAATTACACTTTAGTGGCTCAGGTAAGACGAGCTCCATTATCACCGACTGAGATGTTGAGGACGAGCTTCTGTACTTTAATTTCTCTCGTTGGGATTGACAAATTCTTCTCTGAACTTTCTCGAATTATACAAAAAAATACCAGGTGTGCATTCCGTACAGAATCTGATGGAGGCGGGGGCAATGAGAAGCCCGTCAGCCTCCGAGCTATGACCGCAGGCAAAGTTTTGTGTATATATACATAGATGTGCATGTGTGTAAGGAGAGAGGATTACGTTAGGGCTTATGAAAAGAGTGAGAGCAAAAGCCACTTTATGGAGACATTTCATGAACTAGTCAATGATTAGTATGAAATCAGAAAAATGTGAAAACGAGCGTGACAAGAATGAATAGGATTATCAAAGAGAGAGGGTAGAAGATGAAAGATAACCATTAGTTTGAAATTTACACGAGTTGATTGTTCATCTATCGTGATTTATTTTTGCCAGTAATATAATGATTGGATCATTAATCATTTCAATAGTGATACTTTTGTTACTCGATTTCTTTCAAAAGCATTACTACTCAACTCCAATCAATATTTGTTTGAGTCCATTTTGGGGGGAAAAAATGTATTTTAGAATAGTATTTTTTGAAGAGCGTATAGTTAAAGTAAAATTATTTTATCGGAGAATATGTGGATTAAAACGAGTTTGGAAGAGCGAATTTTTGATCAAATAAGCATCAAACAAGGGCTAATATCAACTAATTGGTAAGATAATTTCACTTTTCTTTTTCTACATGCATGCACACTTATTTACCTGCTAATAATATTTTTTTCCTATATATATATTTGGGCAGAGTTCTCGTTCTAGTTTCAATGTATAATATACATACATGCGGTAGTTATTAGCTCATATGGAACAATTATTAAATCACTCAATTATATATAAAATTTGGATTTTACAAAAGCTTTGTGTTTTGTAATTTACCTTATCAAATACGTACACGTACATTTAGTTGGTATGAGAAAGTTAATATTTTTTTAATCCATTTCTAAACGAATCATTTTATTAAAATTAATATTCACTCTGATCTTCGTACATGGTAGGTTGCAAATATAATTAGAATCAAATCTTTAAGATTAATCAGTGAATGAGAATTGGAGCCTACACCTTGAGAATGGGACACAAAACCCTCCAATACGAATTAGAGACCAGATCTTGAGACTGAGATGATCATTCTATCTCAATTCCCAGAGCTATGCTATTTGTACATTGAAAATATACAACTTTGTTAACATTCAATGAGGTGTAAAAATATGTGTCATCGATTGTTTTAAGTGCTGTTAAGATCAATGGCAAAAATATTAATCACCTCACACATTGCTAACAAAGCTGTAAACCAAATTGAACCTACAACAGAACTATAATACCTAGTAACTAAACAAGCTGAAATTCACGATGACTAGCACAACAAATTATTTCGAACAATTCTGATTGTCTTACAGAAAAAACTCAGAAGTCTCACAAAGGGTAAGCCCCATTGCGGGACCCGATGTAATAAAGAATGACAAAAAAAATTTCGACCACACTCATGTGTGAGACCTCTGTAAGAGGTCTGTGAGTTGGGGTTCCGTACATCCAGCTCGATTCAATTATTTCTTCACATGTCACAGTGACATTCCTGGTTTTGGGATTTGTAATCTTGGTAGTGTAGGTTGATCTTGCAGTTCCAACATTTGCAACTGTTTCTCAAAGCTTGACAGAAAATGGTGCACCCTATAACTTTGAAAGCCATTGAAGCGTAGTTTAGATCCTTCGCAATAATCACAAGAATAGAACTCAGCAAAGTCCATCGTCAGAGTTACAATGGAGATGCATTCTGGCAGTAGAGATGGCCAAATAACCCGCCTCGAATTCTCCCTGTTAAAAAAAAAATAATAATAATAATAAATAAATAAATAAAATTGATTGGAATAACATTGTGCTGTGGATGTTGGAACTGTTCTTCATTCCTTCCATTTTAAGCCAATTCTCTGGTTGGGACAAGAATGATGACTGAAACAATGCAAATTGGTGAGAGGCCCAGTTGAGAACTAAATATAGTAGTAGGTCAAATAATTGTAGAAAATAAAATAGAAGCAAATCTATCAGCAAAATATTTACCCATTAAGACATCAAATTTACCACAGATGATCATATATCTAGGATCCTTACAAAACCTCTTCATATATATATATATATATATATATATATATATAAGAATAAAATCATAGAGCAGCAAAACAGAATTTACTCTTGCCTCCACGAAAGTGCAATAACGATAGATACTGGTACCATGTATTTATCTTATCCACCGTTCAGCTCCCAAAATGCACAAGATCTAGCAAATTTTTATTATATCAAAATGCCCTTATTCTCCTAGAAGGTAAAAGTCCTCCAAGAGAAATTGCAGTGTGCTACATTTACAAGAAAGATGGATAAGAATAAAACCTTGCATAACATTATTATCTTGGTCAATTTTCTCCAAGGCAGGAATGCAGAAGGCAGCAGTTTTCCCTGTTCCATTTTTGGCTCTAGCTATTAAAAAAATGGGGGCAACAAACAGGGCAAGCCACCGCCCCGCCCCCACTGCCATCTCTACCCAGCAGTTTTTTCAACCCCGCAATACCCATTACAACCTTTAGCCGAGCCAAGTCCTCCCATTTCCAAGCTTCTCAAAATATATTGGACAGCAGAACATAACATAGTTGCATGGTTTTTTGGTCAAGCACAATACGTATTCGGAGAGATAACTTGGCATATTTAATGTTCTTGTAAATCTGAGAAGCCGCAAGAAAATCAGTCCGAAAGACACTATCTGCAGTCTTTGAAAACTTCTCTATAAACTCCACAGCCTGCTCCAAAAGCACAGCACAAGCCACAAGGTCAACCACATGACCATAACGCTCAATTTGCTTTTCAACGATAAATTCATAATTTGGTGAAAATAATTCAATCCATCTTCAACTAAACCCAGACACAAACAAGTACACAATAAGCATATGAAACATTTTCAAGCTCTTTCAAAGAGTACAACCAGGTGTAGTGAAAGTTGGCCACTGGAATTTCATCAGAAGCTGCAGACGAAGAGTAGGTTGGACATCACATTTGTCCTTGAGCAACGCGCATCCATCATGAAAAGAAATATGACACTGATCAGTCAAGCTTTCATGAATAACAGTTTTCGAGAGTTTCATCAGTTTGTGCCCTATATCACGAAATAATGTATAGAACCAGCAGTACTGAAAAATCAAGCTAGATAAGGAAGTGCTGGAGCAAGTAAATCTGTACAATCAAATCATGGTAGTTCGTTTTTTAATATGTCTAAACTTGCCTAGGTACCCTGCGCAAGCTCCATAAGGTCTGGGTCATATCCTGATAATCTTAACAACTTCATCAATCCTTTCAAGGCACAATATATCTCTTCTGTTTTGGAATGCCTCTCGTCAAAAGAATAGAACTCAACAATCCCGTCATCAGTTGCAATGGAGCTGCATCCCGGCTGTTTTTTAGATCCTGTATCCCTTATTGCAACCTTTATACGTGCCAAGTCTTCCCATTTCTGAGCTTCTCCATATATATTAGACAGCATAACATAGTTTGCAGGGTTTTTCGGGTCAAGCTCAATAAGTTTTTGAAGAGACATCTCAGCAACTGTAAGTTTCTTGTGAATCCGAGAAGCTGCCAGTAAAGAAGTCCAAATCACACAATCTGCTACAATTGGCATCTTTCTTATAAACTCTACAGCCTGCTCCAAAAGCCCAGCACGAGCGAAGAGGTCAACCACACAACCGTAATGCTCAATTTGAGGTTCAATCGAATATTCATTTATCATTGAGTGAAAATAGTTCAATCCATCATCAACTAAACCCATATGAGAACAAGCACATAATATACCTATGAAAGTGATTCCATCTAATTTCTCTCTTGTAGTTTTCATCTCGTTGAAAAGGTTCAATGCATCAGCTCCATGACCATGCACAGCTAAGCCATTAATTATTGTGTTCCAAGATATTAAATCTTTTTTGTCCATGTTCCTAAACACACGGACTGCACTTTCTACCACCCCACATTTAGCATACATGTCAATCAAACCATTGCAAACATAAACATTCTGTTTGTAACCAATGCTCTCTGCATATGCATGCACCCATTTGCCTAAATCAAGAGCTCCTAATCTTGCACAAGCAGTCAACACGTTAACAAGTGTCGCATCATTAGGCTGCACATGAGTATCTCTCAACAACCTCTTAAAGGCATCAAGGACCTCTATGTAACTCTCATTTCGAGTGTACACTCCAATCAATCCATTCCAAGAGAAAATATTCCTCTCCTGCATCTGCTTGAACAACCTTTCACACCCCTCAGCATCCCCATTATTTGCAAATCCATGCAACAATGTATTCCAAGACATCAGATCTTTACCTGGCATCACATCAAAAAGCCTCTTAGCCTCTATCATATCCCCACACTCTATATATGCTGAAACCATTCTATTCCATAATACCACATCCCGTTCTGGAGCTAAATCAAAAAGCCTTCTCGCCAACACCAGATCACCATTTGCCACATACCCTTGTATCATCGCTGTCCAAGCTACAACATTCCTCAAAACCATCTCAGTAAACACCCTAAAAGCACACTCCACACGCCCTTCATCTGAATACAACTCAATTAAATTAGTACCTGTGTAAGTATTCGAAATGAACCCACTTTTAACTGTGACACAATGCACTTCCTCACATTCTCTCAAAGACAAAAACTTGCCACAAGCCTTCAAGACCAGAGGAAATGTGTAACAATTAGGCTTCACATTTTCCCTCATCATCTCACAAAACAACAAAACAACCTCTTTGTAGAGGTCATTTTGTAGAAATCCTTTTAATGTTGCATTCCAAAGTGATGTAACTCTGCGGTTCGGAATTTGATCGAACACTTTGCAGGTGTAAATTATCTGATTCAACTCAGAGCATTTCGAGAGGAAATGAGATGTCGCGAGGTGGTTTTGATGATCAAGGCCGTTTGTTGTAATCTGAGTTTGAACTTGTTGGAGTTGTTTGAAGGTCTTACATGATTGTATAAATATGATTACCCGCTGAAGTGTTTGAGGTAATTGTGAAGTCATGTAAGCAAATTTAGTTATTTTCAAGGAGAAAATTTGTGTTGAAAATGCAACTTGAGAAAAGAAAGAAAGGTCTGCTGATTTGGTCGGGGAGGAAGTTTTAGTTAAGGGAAAAAAGATGACAGTAGAAGGTAAGAATATAGAAAATCAAAGAGAAGGAATGCAGGTCACTGAAGAAATTTCCATCAGACAGGCGACGTTCTTGCTTGAAGGGATTGAAATGGATGCAGTTCATGGACTGGGAGAGCACTTCCAGTGGATTCATATAGATGCAACGAGCAGAAAGGGTGTTACCCGGGCGGACCTAGGACAATATATTAGGGGTGCTGAAATCTAGAAAAGATTAATGTACTAACAAATTTCATATTGCACAGAAAAAATAAAAATATAACATTATCTACTAAAAGTATAATTATCTTTAGGACACATCACCAAGGTATCAGAAGAAACATTTACAATTTGGAGAAAAATAAATACCATGATTCAATATAAACATATTTTGTAACCCCCCCCCCCACCCACCCAAAAAAGAGAAAAGTCCGCTATGCTTAGGAATGCTATATTTTCAGAGAAGTCAGCTATGCTTAGGAATATATATTTTTCTTTTCGGTTAAGTCGAAGCCTTTAAACAGTACGTAAATTTTGTCCTTAAAAGTTTTTAATAAAGTGGATTTGGATTGAGTTTTTAAAACTATTACTCATTACTATCCACACAGTACCCACTACTATTCCTCCTAAAAAGATCCTAAAAAGTTACTAATAATCAATCCTGGACATGGGCAAAAAAAAGGATGATGAAAAACACAAAGCAAGAGAAGGCATTCATTTAAAAGCAAACCAAATATAGAACTTTAATCAGTCTCCGTTTTCTGGTTTCTTAGACTTAATTAATCATTCTAAAATCAACTCTAATAAAGCATTCTAAAATCATTCTGCTTCTACTTTTCAAATAATTAATATATTTTTGATTAACATAGCAATTCATCAAAGGACAAGAAAATTTTAATCTTGAAGCATTTTGTTTTAATTTTAAGGAAGAATTAAGAGTATCCAGTTAAGAACTCTGTACACAAACATTTTCATTAAGAGTGTGTTTGATTGACATGGAAAATATCATCTAGAAAAGAAAATATTTTCCATTTTTTGTGGAAAATAAAAACCACCTCTACCCAAGGAAAATATTTTCCTTAAAAACAAGGAAAATTAGGCATATTTTCAAAAGTTGGAAAATATTTTCCATGGAAAAAAATAGAAATCAAACACTCCAAGTAGAAATTTGGGTGGAAAACTGATATTTTTCTTGGAAAATAAATGTAATGAAACACACTATTAAGCCAAAAACTTACAAAAAATAGATCAAATAAAATCTTAACTATCCATTTCTTAATAATAGAAGGATTATAGGAAAATAGAAACAAAAATGATAAATAAATTTAAAAGAAAGACATCGGAGGCGGGAGGAGTCCTCACCTCCTGCAGCTGCCAACGTTGGACGGGGCATGTCAGATGCTTCGGCTAGCAGGATGTGTTGAGCCATGTTAGCATTGTTGGGAATTTACTTAAACATGTACAGCGTAATTTAACAAATTTCAATTTTTATTTAAGATTCAGCTTTGTATTTTGATAAAAACTGTGATAAGAAATATACATTTTCTTTTAATTTGCAAACTCCTTCGCGTTATTCCTCTCCAGCAACTTGAATCTGTCTCCCACAGCTGTCCAATTGTCCAACCTCCAATGAAATCCACACAGAGAATAGACTGCAACTGCTAGAGTTTTCCTCTTGTGCCAACAAGAATAATGAAAACCTTATGGACCTTAAACCTAGCTATGTATTTATATAAACCCAAACGGACCCGGCCCAGTCCGGTCCAATATTTAATTAATCCAATTAATTAAACCTGATCCGTGAATTAATTAATCCAATTAATTAATTTATCCAACGATTGTTAAATTAACCAATTGACAATTTGCAATCTTCCAATTCTCTTTTGTGTGCGACCCATTAGGTTCCCGACCACGATGCTTAACGACGTGAAATATTATTTTAATCTAATCAAAATTGATAAATTAAAACACCCTTTTAATTTATCGTCAATTTACATTCGCCGTCCCTGATTGACATCTAACAATGTGTCAGGGCAATACATGTGACGGGAAATGTCACGTGGTATGACAAAACCAAATTCGTTCGTTTACCGTGAAACTATAATCCATTCGTCAATATGATCCGATCAATTACGAGATATGGAATTGTGTCAATCTCGATCATCGATCATATCTTTCACTCCACTATTAAGTCAATATAAATCGAAAACTCCTTTTCGACTTATGAGTACACCTTGGCCAAGGATTTCATCATCGACTTAATTAAATGAAACGCAGATCATAATCTCCTACTATCTAAGAGTGACGAATCCTTTATTAGTCAATCACAACATTCATACGATTCTTGGTATACCCGAACGATGTCGTATTAGCGGCCCTTTTCAGAGCAACATCCAACACCGCCAAAGTATGACTGTCCTCATATAAGATACCATGACGACCTCAAGTCAAAGGACCAATTCCACTACCGAGCGTTAGAGATTAACCACTGACACTCAGATAGTTATCCATGTGGAATCTCTTAGCGGGTCTCCAATGTTTTGTTCTATAACAAAATATCCACGTGTTCATTTAAGTGTCACCACACTTTAACTCGTGAGATCAGCTACTTACTTCACAAGTAAGAAATGCCACACGTGATGGTCTAACTGTATTAAAGATATCCGTATCTTGTAATTACTTACGACCATGGTTTATTCAAGATCCAATTATATGTAATTTGTATCTCACAATCACAACTCCTTGTGATTTACAGATTACCTAAAAATTGGATCTTCGGATTCTATTATTTAATATTATTTATCACAAAATTAATTTAAATAAATAATAGATCTCGCCAAAATCAAATGCATTAAACATATTAAAAGCGTTTACAACCTAAATCGATTGGATCTAGGGCATAACACTTATAAATTCCCACTTGTACTAGATCCAATCACTCACGTATCTAATACCATAAGCATCCACATGACGATCATATTTCTGTTGTGAAACGGCTTTGTCAGTGGATCTACAATATTATCATCTGTGGGAACTCGTTCTATCATTACATCATTCCTTTGTATAATCTCCCTGATGAGATGATATCGCCTTAGCACATGTTTGGATCGTTGATGAGACCTCGATTCCTTCGCTTGCGCGATGGCTCCGTTGTTATCACAATACAAAGGTATGGGATCAACAATGCTAGGAACGACTCCAAGTTCATTAATGAATTTCTTGATCCACACAGCTTCCTTTGCTGCTTCAGAAGCAGCTATGTACTCGGCTTATGTTGTTGAATCAGCGGTTGTCTCCTGTTTGGAACTTTTCCAACTAATCGCTCCATTGTTGAGAGTAAACATATATCCTGACTGAGACTTACTATCATCTTTGTCAGTTTGAAAACTAGCATCAGTATACCCATGAATTTTCAGTTCATTTCCTCTATAGATCAAGAACACGTCTTTAGTCCTTCTCAAGTACTTAAGAATGTTCTTAACAGCTATCCAGTGTTTCTCCCCAGGGTTTGCTTGAAACCTGCTCGTAACACTTAGAGCATACGAAACATCTGGTCTTGTACATAGCATCGCATACATGATAGATCCTATCGCCGAAGCATAAGGAATCTTATCCATGCGACTCCTTTCATCATGTGTTTTAGGACACATATCTTTTGAGAGGTAAATCCTATGCGACATGGGACATAATCCTCTTTTAGACTCTTCCATATTAAATATTCTCAAGATTTTATCTATGTACGTAGATTGGGATAAGCCTAGTAATCTTTTAGATCTATCTCTATAGATCTTGATTCCCAAGATATACGCTGCTTCTCCCATATCTTTCATGGAGAAATTCTTTGACAACCATAATTTTACCGATTGAAGCATTGGGATGTCATTTCCCATTAATAATATGTCATCGACATATAATATCAGGAATACGACCTCACTCCCACTTGTTTTCTTATAAATACACGGTTCATCTTCATTTTTGATAAAATCAAACCTTTTGATTGTTTCATCAAAACGAAGATTCCAGCTCCTAGAGGCTTGCTTTAATCCATAAATGGATCGATTTAGCTTACATACTTTGTTGGCTCCTTTGGATTCAGAACCTTCACGCTGTGTCATGTACACCTCCTCTTGTAAGTTTCCATTAAGAAAATCAGTTTTGACATCCATTTGCCATATCTCATAATCATGGTATGCAGCTATTGCAAGCAAAATCTGAATGGACTTTAACATGGCTACAGGCGAAAAGGTTTCATCAAAGTCAATACCTTGTCTTTGTGTGTAACCCTTCTCTACTAGCCTTACTTTGTATGTGTGGACGTTTCCATCCATATCGACCTTTTTCTTGTAAACCCATTTACAACCTATCGGTTTTATCCCACCTGGAAGGTCGATCAAGGTCCAAACTTTGTTCTCATACATTGAGTCTATTTCGGATTTCATGGCATCTTGCCATCTCTTCGAATCAACACTTAACTTTGCTTCTGCGTAATTTGTAGGTTCATCATCCTCGACTAATAATACTTGATTAGTAATCATGAATTCGTACCTTCTGGGAGGTCAAATGATCCTACTTGATTTACGCTGAGCTGGAGTGTCCTCAGGGTTCTCTACATCCTGATCAAGAGTCTGTCCATCAACAGGTGTAGGATCAGACTCAAGTTCATCTAATTGGTCAACAGTATCCGTGGATTCTTGAACTTCTTCAAGTTCTAGTTTGCTCCCACTACCCTCTCCTAGAATAAACTCTTTCTCTAGGAATATGGCATGCCTTGAGATGAACACCTTCTTCTCAACTGGATTATAAAATTGATATCCAATTGTCTCTTTTGAATATCTCACAAATACACATTTGTCAGATTTAGCCTCAAGCTTATCTGATTCATTTCACTTTACATAAGCGTCACAGCCCCAAACTTTCATATGAGATAAATTTGGTCTTTTTCCTCTCCATAGCTCGTATGGAGTTTTGTCGACCGATTTAGATGGGACACGATTAAGTGTGTAGCATGCAGCAATTAGTGCATGACCCCAAAATGATTTTGGGATGTTTGCATGGCTCATCATAGATCGCACCATGTCTAACAAAGTGCGATTCCTCCGTTCAGATACACCATTATGTTGCGGTGTATATGGCGGAGTCCACTGCGAGAGAATTCCATTCTCTTTAAGATAATCTAAAAATTCTCCCTTTAAATATTCTCCACCTCG